AGGGGCTCCCAGACTTTGGGAATTCACATTTTAAAAATGGTTTTGGGAAACAAACACGGAACCCTATGCCAACTTTGTATTTAGTCCAGGACATAAAAAGTACCCTCTCCCAGCACTATGATTTCATTAAAGGGCATTTTAACCCAGAAAATGCGACAAGAATATAATGTTAGAATAAAGACAGCCTTCTAAGAAAGAACAAACTTGCCCTAAAATATCCTACAGTGTTCACTCTTTTTCGGTTTAATTTTAAGCAGAACTGGCTAAAACCTTGGCATTACACAGGATGGGAGCCACTGGCCCTACCCCAGAGCTGCCTCTTTAAGCAAGAACAATGTCTTCGGCCTGTGAGCAAACAAACTTCCAGAATTTCCTATCCCCCTCTGTCCATCCAGGTCCCCACCGGGTAAGACCTGAGGTTGATAGATGATCATCAGCTACCTCCCACCCTCCTCCCAGCAGTTCTGAATCTCACTGACGTTCAGCGTCCCTTCCAGGGAAGAAACACCCATCCTCCGCAGCTCCTTCTCTCTTGGACCCAGATCTTTCGTGGGTTTGCATCCCAGGGATACCCAGGCCCCCTTGCAGCCCAGCAGGAAGCACATCTGCCTCCCAGAGGTAATCACTTCCCCGCCACAGCTGAGAGCCACGCATTTTCTCCCTATCTCAGTCCTGAGGTAGGCCTTCCCCTTCCTGGGGTCCCCAGGTCCTGTGTATTGTGTTAGGAGACAAATCAGAGCAGACCACAGGCTTTCCAGGCAGTGCTAGAAAGGAGAGGTGTGAGGCCTGGGTGGAGCCATGGAGATAGCGGAGAATGTGGGGGCTTCATTCTTAACCTCTTTACCTTGCTTTGGCCACACCAGACTCAGAACTGCCTCTCCCTCCTGCACCTGTCCCCACCCCACCTGTGTGAGTCACCTGGGTAGTAGAGAAGAACCTGACCTGTGGAGCCCTTGGTTGGAGTTTCAGCTCCACTGTTTTCTTGCTGTGGGACATTTAGCAAGTCACTTAATCTCTCTGTGCTTTAGTTCTCCGGCTTGCAAATGGGAGTAAGACTGTTAGGTTGAGTCATGTGAAACTAAAAATTTGACCATATTTGGCCTACAAAACTTTCACGTGGCTTCACATATGAAGCGTGAGCTGTAAAGTGATGGATACATGTCTCCCACCAAACCGGACCCCTCCCTCTAGGAAGTCTTCCCTAGTTACCAGCGAGCCTCAGCGAGGTCCCCCTCCTCCAATCACATTGGTTGTGGCATGATTTAGTACACACTTCTTTTCTGTCTTGAGTGTTCTCCACCTTCCTAAGCATGAGTCTAGATTCCCTACAACTTGGGGCCCCTCCAGGGCAAGACCTGGGTCTCCCCCCATCTTTCCCCCAGACTGCTCGCACGCCATCGCTGCCCCCCACCATGGTTTCACAGAGAGGAGTCAGGAGAGGCCTCGCCAGGGTTTCTATGTGCCTACCTTATCAAATAGTCATTTCTTCACCCAAGGGTCCTAGATGGTTCTGAATGAGTGGTGCTGATTAAATTGAGGGGACGTGAGATGCTAGAGGGGGAGGAATTAAGGGGCCCTGACCCCTGGCCAGCCTGTGGCAGCAGTGTCGCAGGAAGCAGAGCCCTGGTCCTAGCCTCCATCTACTTCGAGAAGCCCCTTCAGTGGCATTAGCTAACTTCCAGGGCCCTCACTTATGGAGTGGGTCTGCTCTCTGACTCCCCCTGAGTTGGTGTTGAGGGCCTTTGAGATGAGGCAGACCTCTTCTTCCTTTGGGGAGCTCAGTCCCGAAGGGGACACAGACTGCACTGTGCAATCAGTACTCAGGTTGACGGGAGCTCCTGGGCCATGGGACCCCAAAGGGGGGACATGGCCAAGATTTGGGTGGCCAGGAAGGGTTCCTAGAGGAGGAGATGCCATTACCATGGGACACTGGGGAGCCTGCTTGGGCAGAGCAGTCTAGCTTCTGGCTAGACACAGAAGCCCAGAGAAGTGAGTTAAATGGAGGTCTTCCCCCTGTGGCTAGCACACCAGGGCAGGCAGGGCTCACAGCTGGTTAAGAACACTCCGTCTCAAGGAGACCCAAGGACATTCAGGGATTAGGCCTCCCAGCATCCGTGCAGAGAAGTGTCAGCTCAGAACTGCTCAAAAGCAGAAATGCCAGCAAGTGGTGATGTCATCATGCTAGCCATTCCCTCTCCCCACGGGCGGTCCAGTGGGTAGTGCAGAAAAGCTCCTGCTAGGCTGTCCCCTCTTCTTGCTTCCAAAATTTCTGCTCTGAATGGGTTGGGGGGGGCGGGGGGTCACAAGTGGGCTAAGAATAAGAATAAAAAATCCTTTGAAGAAAAATTTCATGGTATTCCTCAGAGAGATGGCAAGGCTAGGGGACCTTTTGGCCTGGCTCCTACCAGACTTTGCTGAGGATCTACTTTTCAGCATTAACCCAAACTCCAACCTTCCCCAGCCAGCCCCTTCCCTCTAGTGACCCATCCCCGCTTCTGAGCTAATCTGGCATGTTGGCCTTGACAGATCTGAGAAACCCTTGGGCCATCTGGGCAGCCTCCAGGCCAGGGAGAGGGGGCCTGGCAGCCCCGCCTGTGTGGATGGGGGTTGGGGTGTCAGACTGTCTTAGGGTGTTGGATTGGAGTGGAGTTGTATCTCTGGCAGAGCTGGTGGGATTTGTCCATAAACCCGGAGACTGCACACAAAGAGGACACACAGCTGGATCGCAGGCTGGCCTGGGGGGTGGGGGTGGGGAGTGGACTCAAAGGGAGGAGGGGCTCGGGGTAGGCGGCCCGGGTGGAGCAGGAACTCCCCTAGCTTTGGGGTGTCACAACTTGGAGGAGAACCCCGGGAGAAGGAGGTCCACAGTGTGCCTGGTCGCCAGAGGACTCTGCCTGCTGGCTCCCCACTGCAGCCGGCTGGTCTCAGAAACCCGCATTGGAACCACCCCGGGAGAAGTGTGTGTGGGACTGGACCCCGCATCCGTGGCTGCTGCAGGCGCATTTCCTCGAAGTCTTACCTCGAAGGGCTTGGGTCTCACCCTCGCGCCCTGTGCCTCCCGTTGGTTCCCCCACGCCCTCCTAGCTTGGCAGCTGCGAGGCTCCGCCGGGGACAGACCAGCGGGGTGTTCGCCCCCCGCCTGTGTCTCAGGAAAACCCCGGGAGCATCCCGGACGCGGTGCATTTCCCGGAAACCCCCTCTCCGGGGCTCCACTTTCAGACAGCCCGCCCGCCTCCCCGGAGGAGGGTCGGAGACCTTAGCTGAAAAGCAAAACCGCCGGGGAGAGGCGAGCCCAGAGCTCGGAGGAGAGGTCGGGAATTCCCGCCCCACCCCCACCCCCAATCTTGGGGTGTGGAATTCGCAACCCAAGCCGGAACCCCAGGCTTGGGGCGCTCTCCCAGCCCTTAGTCAAGCAAAGACATTCGAGGGTTCAGGATTAAGGACGCCTCTCACCTCAGCCCCTGCAGTCCGGCGAGAGCCCACCC